AAAAAGAAGTCTGATGAGGAGATGTGGTGATCTCCGAAATAGTGCTATAACTTCTACCGCTTAGACTTTGTTGCTTTTTCAATTTTTCCTAATAAACAATCGTGGTACAAAGCTCAATAAAAATATTAAAAATAAAATGTTAACAAGCCACAATAACATTGACAAAAATCCAAATATTTAATGCATGCTTTGTACTGCAATATGTAGATATGTATGTAGGTATGTATGTATGTACACTCACCACCGTACTCCACATCAACATCTACTGGCAAGAGCTTATCTTGTGCAAATCGTATAGCATCCAGCGTCGATGGCTGCTGATAACTCTCCGGCACCGTTAATTTCAGCTCAGTCCATTTATGAAGCGTTACGAATTCTTTCCTTTGTAACACTGGCCGACCATCACTTTCTGCAACACCTGCTATGGTCATGCCTGTCAGCAGTTGTGCCAAACAACAATAGATCAGCCACATTCTATATGACAATAGGTAGGCCTTTTCAAACACACAAAGGCGCCTCCTAATAGGTACACAAATATTTAACGAATACTCCAAATTTAAAAAAAAAAAAAACCAAAATTAAAAGCAGTTAAAAAAATTGCTGAGCTGTTGAGCGTATAACGTCTGCACAGACACGTTTCCAAAGTCTTACTGAATGCGCCTTCAATGGTTGCGTGCTGGCATGCAGCATCCTCTTCAAATGCCATTTGCTGGAGTAAGAAACACACTTACGCACATACATACAAATGTCCGCCACTCTGTCTGTTTGCCTGTCTGGCTTTTATGTAGGCGCTAACCAAGTCTAATTAGCCAACAAAATTCTCGAATGCAGCCAAACGTCAAAATAAACCGTCCACTTCATGCCGAATGCATTGAGGATTCACTTCATTCTGCAGACTGCGTACATATGCACATACATATGTATGTACATAGTGCAACAACAATAGATATTCATAAAGGTGCGCTATACATAAGTGTTTGGGCCATTAAATACTCCAATACGTATTACTTTGGCTGCTTTGGATGGAAAGCATCTGCACAACTCTTGACCGAGGTCTATTTTATTGAAAACTTTGTTATGCAAAATTGGTGCAATGTATTTCATTGAAAGTATTGATCATAGCTAGCTATCACTTTGCTGCACTTTTCTGGCAATTCCTGAATTTTATGCCAATAAAACTGCAGGTCTTTGGAGACCAAGAGCACATAAGGGCGTTCTGCATCAAGGTAAGTGCTATAAGGCGTGTGGGTTAGGACTTTCCATCCGCAACAGCTCGCTTCAATCGCATCACTTGTTCTCAGTAGAGGTCGATTGTCTGATCATTTTTCAGAAGCTCATGATACAGGAATCTCTTCTGATGGCACCAAATGCAGAGCATTATCTTGCTGCCAAAGATATTTTCCTTTTGCATAGATGGTCCATGTTCGGCGTGCTTAACATACGCCTTCTTGCGCTTGGCACGGTTGTATGAAAACAATTTTAAATGGCCGGTGACAATACAATGCAAAAACGACTTCGGTTTGTATCCTTGAAGGAGCAATTGGAAAACAGTTACACGCCGTGCGATATATCTTGGGTTGAACTCGTGTGGAACACAGTAACCAACTTTTTGGACAACAAAAAAAAAGGCTTTCAATCGCTATGCAATCTATGTCTTGTTAAGTCCCGCCTATTATTGCCGAAAGTTCTTCAAGCCCCCGTTTACATACGCAGATTACCTCCTTTCTCGCTCCATGTCGGTTGTGCCGACTTTTGCAACGCCGAAACCAGTACTCACAAGCTGAAAAATCTTCGCTTTTAATCAGATTACATGTTTATTAATCACACTCTTAAACAAGGAATTCCTATTATAGTGGTAACCCTCTGCCGAGTATAAACATATGCACAAATGATGTGCAAACTCCCAGGTGCCCTTCTTTTTCCGGTACTGTTTTGTCCCACCGACAAGTATGCCTGCCTACTATCGACTGAAATAGTCGTCGCACCAAAGAAAATGTGGCTTACACTATGATGAAATTACTTACACTGTTAAATATGTCTTAAAGTTGGCGCTTCCACATGAAGTCGGCTGCAACATTGTCCGGCATACTTAAACATTACTGGTGCTTTTCGTTGACGATTCTTTAAAACTCACTTGTATACCCTATACATACATATCTGGGAATCTGAAAGATATTGGGAGATAATGTACCTAAGCGAACTATTCTACATATGAGCTATTTAGAGATACGTACATAGATATGAAAAATATGTATACACCCCACCCACGGCACATCGGGTCCGCAGCAATATTAAGGGGTACGCATCAGTTTCCGTTGAGCAGCGTCCAGTCAGAACTCCAACCAAAACCGAACGTTGTCGCCTATTAAGCTGGAGAAGGTTCCTAGACCGGCCACCATCAACTTCCGGCCAAAAGGATTTTGTCAAGCGGTCGCTAAGTCGAATTTTACAGAAAAAGACCGCAGATTGCCATTGTTGATGGCTTCTTGGCTGCCTTGTATGGCCAGTTCAGCGGCATAATAGTTTCCTGCAGTATGGCTGTGCACCGGAACCCAAACCAGTCCGATGCGAAAGTAATCCGAAGCAATAGAGAGAGAGAGAGAGAGAGAGATATCAGATAATCCGAGACCCATTTTGACCTTACAATCAGCGATTTCAGTGGTCAGATTGCCGCTTGGCTGTCAATGTAGATATTTACCTCTCTCTACGGCATTGCACAACTGCGCAACTGATCGCCTTCTTCTTTGAAGGCATCTCTCTACGCTAGAGAAATCTGGTAGCCCAAATTTAATATCTAAGAGTAGTTCCTCACAGATTACACCTCCTTCAACTCCGGTAAGATTGCTAGTTTTAGGCTTGACTAAATCACTTTGAAAAACGCCACAATGTTCAGATAGACGGAAAGCGAATTGCATTCCTAATTGTTTCAAGAATACGTCTTCTGCGACTCTACATATTTATTTTATAATTTGAAGCCATCTGAAAAATCAGACAGCACCTTCAGACACCGGAGTTATGATCGTGGACCTGAACCAGTTTTGAACCGGGTTAACTGTTTTTTCTATAAAGAACTGGACCACTAACCGAACCAAAATTTTCTACAAATGTTTGATCCTGACCGAAAACGGAATCACTATTTTTTAAGGTTTCGAAAAATTCTTAATAGGCAAATTTTTCCCACCTTTTTATTTTTTATTTTGCCAAATATGGTAATGCCCAAAGGTCTGTGCGAATTTTCTTCATAAAAAAGTGTTAATAGAGATCGTTTCTTGCCAAAACAAAAAGTAGACGCTCGTCCAGCGGGTTGCGCAGAATATTTTGTAATTATTAGTATTCTTAAAAGGCAGCATACAGTTTTTTATTTTTTATTTATGTTAATATTTGTTGTAGAGTAGGGCACAACACGACTATTCTTGACCGAACATAATTTTGAGTTATACTTGTATTTCATTGTTTTCACTTTATCAATGGCAACCGACATCAATGAAAACACAAAAAGTGCTTGTAAAAAAGCATACAAGCATTTGGCTGGACGACTTTTAGCCAAATATCTTTGACTTTGTTAGCTGCTGCAGACATTTGCTTCAACGCATGTATGAGTGAGTGGATGACTGCTTTGGTGCAAAGTACAAACACATATCCTAGCACAAATGGTTCAACAGGTACAACAGCGCAACATTGGGTACAGTGGAGTCCCAATACCACAGCTCCGTTTTAGCCAAATTAAACTGATCAATAATTTTTATACCCGAGTGCACTTGTGTTCACATAACGGTTGTTTGTAACAACCAAAACGAATCGAGATAGATATAGACAAATATATACATAAGTGCTCAGAATAAATAGAGAAGTCGATTAAGCCATGTCTGTCTGTCCGTCCGTCTGTCCGTGATATCTCAACGAAATTCGGCATGTAGGTTTCCCTTTACCCAAGGTAGGTTGGTATTGAAAATGGGCGAAATCGGACTGTAACCACACCAACTTCCCATATAACGGTATTTTCGGTATATTGGATCCAAACTTTTGGAAAATGGGCGCGACCCGGCCCACTTATGATGAAATGCTGTATCACAGTAGCCGCCGCACCAATGCTTCCCAAACTCGGTACGAGCTTTTTCTACGGCCCAGCTAAGAAATCTGTTGAAAAGCTTTAAAATCGGGCAATAACCACGCCCCCTCCCATATAACGGTAATTTACAGAAACACGAAAACTGCGACAAATCAGTAAATACTGGAGCTAATTGACTAAAAATCGATAATTACAGCAACCACTTAGCTCAAAATTAGATTATTATACATTTTTGCATAATGGGCGTGGCGCCGGCCCTTATGATCACAAATGTTTATCTCGGTAACTGGTTCATCAATTTCTACCAAACTCGTTGCCCTTAATAATATTAGAACAAGGAAGAAATTCGTTGAAAATTATTCAAATCGGTCTAAAATTATATCCACTTTCCGAATAACGGTAAATTTCAGACATTCGAAAACTCCGATATTTCAATAACTGTGGACGCAAATTTACTCCAATTTAATAGTCTGCTATAGACTTATAGGAATTGGGCGTGGCACCGCCCACCTTATGACTACAAGGTGTATCTCGGTAGATTTCTACCAAACTAGGTTCAATTATTTCATTAACTCTAATTCAGCATATAATCGAAAGAGTTTGAAATTGGGAAAACCCCCTGCTTATCATGCAAATGTTGTTTAGAAAAAGTTGTAACGACGTTATTTGATACCTGCGCCGGCTATATAAAGTTCGGTTTCGCCCGGACTTATACTTCTTTACTTGTTTGGTTTCAGAGTCAATTATCGCAGCTTCCACTGTACTGTGTAAGAATAGCTTCGATAGTGATTTACGGTTGACTTGATGCACATACCACATCCACAGGAATGGATACGTACATATATAGGTATATAGACATATGAATTTACGTATGTTTTTATGTATCTGTATTAGACCGTATTACGATGTATGTGCCGAAAAAAGATCAATTTGTTTTAAGCGATTGTAAACATTTACCATGAGGGTATTTTAGAAACCCTTAAAAGACATTTAATTTTTTTGGATGTCGGATTTCTAAATATAAATGTTACACCATTGTAAATGTATTAAAAAAGCCTACTTACTTCCCACAGAAAAGAAAAATTTGAACTTTTTATGTGATACGGTCTAATGTACATACATATGTATGTACTTAGGTATATAAATTAGTATCTGCTGGTTCTTCGTTTCATCTTTTTTACCTGGAAAAGCAAACTAAAAGTGTAAACAATAAACAATAAGAACGGAACAAACAACTCATAAGTCAATTCATTCAATAATGATGCAGTCACCAATGAATGAGGGGTTATTCCAATGGTTGACCTCTCGACAAAGTGCAATGTTGTGGCATTGAGTTGCGTGTGCTATGACATCTCAGCATTTAAAAAATATAAATACGTACATATTACTCACTTTGTAAGTACCTCAAGTTGCTATAAATTGGCTGCAGGATGTATTGGTTGTCAGACCCAAAAACTACAACTCTTGTTTCTTATTAATGTATGTACATCACAAAACAAAGCACGCGAACAGTGTAATATTTGCAATAACAACAATGAAGGTAGATATGGCTTATTCCACACAAATTAAATTTTTTTAAGACGTTTTGGAAAACGAGCCAGAGGCGCTTTAACTCCTTGCCACCGTACTTAAACCGTTTATCTGGTAGGGTGGAAAGCTTTATCAGCTTTGTTGTTATTCAGCAGCGATGGGTCATTGATTCCGTCGTCAACTACTGGGTGCTCGGGTTCAGCTTCACGACTTACCAACGACGCCCTGCTGAGTTTTTTTAATTTTTGTCTTTTTCGTTGCCTTCGACTGGA